TAGTGGCCGCATTATTGAAAATAAATGACTCGCTGGAACAGCTTCACAAGAAAACAGAAGTGATGAATGTGAAAGCGGACGATGCAAATAATAAAATTGATTTAATTGTAGAAAGTTTAAATAATCTGGGACAAAAGGTGAATACCAACACAGAAACCACCCAGAAATTGACACAGGAATCTACTTTAATATGGCAAACTGTGGATGAAGTCAGGGAAAAAATCTTTGCTGCTGAATGTAAAACAACAGAATTGGAGTGTGAGAGAGCCTCACACATTCAAAAGCAACTTGACGAATATAAGCTGACATTTGCTATGATGGAGCTTAAAGAAAAACAGATGAATTTGAGGATCAGAACCCCACCAGAACTGGGAAAGGAAAGTTTGACAGAGCTTCAGGAGGAGACAGGATCAACATCGGCTGAGAAAGAGAGCTTTTTGGGGGTCAGTAGGACCGCCAAAAATGTGAATTTACTTAAGGGTAACTGTGAAGGACGTTGGATTGAAGAGAAGGGGGATTGGGAAATATGGACAAATCTGAAGTTGTTATGGTTGGGTCGAGCTGTTGTGGTGGGGATGAGGGTTGCTGTGTTGCCGGGGATGTTGCTTTTGTGTCAAAAAGTGCAAGTTTTGGATGGGAGGGATTGTTTCAGGAGGTGGCAGAGGGATGTTCCTGGATTTGTTTGGCAGGGCAGGAAGCCTCGAGTAAAACTTAAGATATTGACGGATGCTAAAGAAGGAGGTGGACCTGCCCTGCCAGACACCTAAACTTTGTTGTGAATCATCTGCTTTTTGCTGGCTGAGAGAATGGCTGTCTCTTAAAAGCACTGAAGTGTTGGATAATGGCAGATGAAGCTGATGGACTAGATTGAATTGGCGGAAAAGACTGGCAAGATCCGAGACCAGGGAGAAGAGTCGGTGGAAGAAGACTGGGAAAAGTTTAAAGACTATTTATAGAAATATTGTAAAATTAATGAATGTTAGAAGAATGTTGGAATAAAATTATATGGATTTAGTAGAAATGTTATAAGGAATTAAGTATAAATAGATTAATAGAGTATTAAAGGAAAATAAGGTTAAAAGGTGTTAAGATAATTATAGGATAGAAAACAGGGGAAGATGGTAAGGAATTGCTGAAATAATTAATAGAAGTGGAATACAAAAAGGGAGGTGTGAGGAGGCCGTGGAAATATGGGAAAGAAAGATAAGATATTGGAAGTTTTTTTCTTTTTTCCTTCTATCTTTTGATGTGTTTTTAAATTGTTTTTGTTTTGTTTTGTTAATTTTTATGTAGTGTTTGTGTATTATAATGTATTGTTTTTTCTTTGTTTTTTCTTTTGTAAGTGTTTAAATTGTTGTAAAAGCAATAAATATTTTTTTTTAAAAAAAGAACCTACTAATTTGATTGAATTGGGAGATGAGGTCAGTACAGGTGTGGACAAATTTTTTGAGTAAAAGCAAAGTATGCAAAAACAAAAAACAAAATCAAAAGGCTGCCAGGTGACGGTATGGTAACTTTTAATTCTAAAAGAGTTAAAGACACAGGAATAAAAATGCATTATCAGAAAAATCTTCAGATTGATGGTCACCTTTGGAAGCCATAGCAGTGAAAAGGAAAAATATGATGGAAAATTGGGCAACTTATAGATATTTCTTGAGAGAAGAAGGTGGAGAATTTAAATTAAAAGAATTTAAGGATTTATCAGAGATGTTAACAACATGGTTACAATAAGATCATCTAAATGAAGTATTTAAAAAGGATATAAAGCGAGGGTTTGGGAACAAACATCACAACTAGAAAATGACCTGTTAAACTGTAATGTTAAAGTGATATCTAAAATATATAAGATGTTATTGGAATGGGAGACAAAGAATGAACATGTGAAATCTTTAGTGATACACTGGGCAATAGATATTGGCCATATCATCAGTGGCGGAGCTTCATGCTCCAGCACCAGGGAGCAGAGAGCAGGTGGGGGCGGGGCTGGCACGTGTCCCAGGGGTGAGGTGCACCGCCCGTAGGGGTGTGGCGCCCAGTGTGGGCGGGAGGGGGCAGCTGCGATGGCACCCCACCAGGATCGTGCTGCCGGGGGTGGTGCGCTCCCCCCGCACGCCTCTTCCTCTGCCAGTGCATAATTTAGAAATGGATGCATGGGAACATTTATGGAATGTGGATATAAAATTTACAGCATCTTATAGTTTAAGAGAAAACTATATGGAAATGCTATATAGATGGTACCTAACACCTAGTAGATTGGCTAAAATATATAAATCCAAATTGAATATGTGCTGGAAATGTAAAGAGAAAGAAGGTACCTTTTTTCATATGACTTATAATGAGGTTAAAGTTTACTGGGAAATGATATATTATGAACTGAAAAGAATGTTTAAGGTCATATTTATTTTAAAAACCAGAAGCTTTTCTTTTGGGACTTATGAGATCAGAACCACCTAAACAGTATAGAAATGTATTTATGTATGCAACCACAGCTGCAAGAATGTTATTTGCCCAAAAATGGAAAGAAGAAGAGGTCCCAAGGAGAGAAGAATGGATACAGAAGTTAATGGGCTACGCAGAAATGGTGAAACTTATTGGGAGAATAAGAAATCAAGATAACAATTTTTAAAGAAAGGAATGGAAATGGTTTATTGAGTATTTACAAACAAGCTGTAAACAGACTAAGACATTGGCCGGAATACAGTGGTGCTTCGCAAGATGAAATTAATTCGTTCCACGAGTTTTGTCGTCTTGCGATTTTTTCGTCTTGTGAAGCACGGTGTCGGGAAAGTTTTGGAAAAGCTTCAAAAATCACCAAAGTCTTCAAAAACCTCAAAAAAGGCTACCACACCGCGTTCTATGAGTTGTTCCTCGAAGTCAAGTCGCAACTGTATTAACGGTGTTAAGAAAAAGGAAACAAACTTGCAAGACGTTTACGTCTTGCGAAGCAAGCCCATAGGGAAAATCATCTTGCGAAGCAGCTCAAAAAACAAAAAACCCTTTCGTCTTGTGAGTTTTCCGTCTTGCGAGTACCACTGTAATGTAAAAACCTGCAGTTTCAATATACATATTGGATACATACGGGAATAGATATATAGAGGTAATTTGGAGTGTGCAGGAAGATGAAAAGAAATGTAAAGAATCACATAAAGAGGGGGAAGAGAGTTAGAGTTTTAAATCTTAAAATTATGATTGAATAATTGTATATATATATATATATATATATATACCTAATGACCCACCTAAGTGGTACTCAGAATATCACTCAAGAAATCACTCAAGATATCCCTCAAGTAATTAAGGAACAAAAGAAGAAAAGGCACACTAGCCTGGGAACTTCCTCTCTGCCCAGAACATTGGAGGCTATACACCACACCCCCTCAACAGTATTTATAGGAACTCAAACACTGAGATCCTGCTCTGTTCCAGTAACAAGAAGCCGAAAGCACCAGCCTGAAGATGACGAGTGAGACCTCGTCGAAACGTCGCCTAGACACCCCAACTTTTACACGGGAAGACACCCGAGGACACCAAAACCTGCATTCCTGTACCCGTGAAAATCTACGAAAGCAAATATATATATATATATATATATATATATATATATATATATATATTCCATTTATATATATTCCAACAATTCTTATATATTATTATATATAAATGAGAATTGCTGCAGAGGAGAGTATTTATTTAAAGTCAATCCTGGAAATGTACATTCCCTGAGTGACAAAATTATGGCTTTCCATAACAATGGGAGGTGTGAACTCCCAGTCTTGCTGCTGGCTTCAAAATAGGATCAGACAAATTCATGGGTGATAGGTCTATCAATGGCTCCTAGCCTTTATGACTAGCACTCTGCCCCCACAGTTGGGGGCAGTATTGCTTCTGAATACCACCAGCAGGGGAAACTGCCCTTGTGCTCTGGTCATGCTTGTGGGTATCGTATCTCACAGTGGTCAACCAGATGCCGCAGGAACATGATCCTGGACTAGATGGGCCACAGTGCTGTTCTTAAGAGCTGCATTCCAAATATGCATCCAGTCATGCAGCTTGTTGAGTGGCCTTGAGCAAGTCAGTATTTCAGTGTCTAAATTATTCTTAGAGGACTGCTGCTTATTTATCTATTATTATTATATCTCATATTTTCTCCAATAAACTTAAGGTGGTGTGCATGGTTCTCCCTTTCCACATCTTACCTTCACAACCCCCTACACAGTTGGTCTGGATGAGTTCTGGTGACTGTTCCAAGGCCAGTCAGTAGGCTCTGTGGCTGAGTGCGACTCGAACCCTGTTTTCACAGGCCCTAGTCCAACACTCTAACCACCACACTACACCAGGTGCTTAAGCTAAGAAGGGTGAGAAATGTGCCAGACAAACAAAATGTAGAAGAACACTCACTTGCGTTCCTCAAGCCAATGATATTAACAGGGTACAGGCGAAGAAGGATGAAAGCTGGCAATGAAACTGAGCAAAGAGATTGGGTGTTCTTGACACATGTCCATTGCATTGCTTCCTTTTGCTCAAGAATTAAGAGCTACCTCAATCTACTCAAGAGCCATTTTGCTTAAAGAACACATTTGCAGTAGCTGCTAATACCCCACCAGTCATAATGTAACTAGTCACAACCATTATCTGCTGTAGTAATCTCATTACTGACTGCAAGCCAAGCAGCTGATGTTGGCAGAAAACAGCTCTCCGAGTTGACTAAATGGGATTTAGCAAATTGAATTTACTCAGGTAATGTTGTGACTTAATTTTTTTCTTCAGCATTTTAAAACTCATCTGCTTGTTACATAAGAAGAAAACATACTGCGAATCTCAAAATGCCTCTCTTAATCTTCAAGCAACAAGGAATCATGGTGATGGAATGTGTATTTTGTACCTGTTATTGATTCTACCATATCTATCACATTAAAGTGAGGGTTTTTTGTCTGATTACAGGATGGATTTCACTTACTTACATAGCTTACCTTTAAATTAGAAATGAAGCGTCTGTGGTGTGCTCTTTGAAGAATCCCATTTAGGAAGATATCACTCTCTGGCAATCATTTCCGAAGTCCCCTGATTTTCCATGGTTCTAAAGCATGCAAGAGGTTCCATAGATTCAAATGCAAGCAGTCACCTTCCATAAATTGGAAGTACCAGTGGATTATGGGGTTAAGTGACGATGCTTATGTCACCTCCTGGCAAGTGGTATTCTGTCAGTGTGTTTCCACAATGTTGACCTCCCAATTACCTTGATCCTTCCACCATCCCACATAGCAAGCAGCAGTGACCCACCTACTGGGAAATTAGGCAAGTGCCACTGCTCCACCATCCACTACTGGTTGGAAAACAACAGGTTGGTGATGGGAGGTTGGTGGCAGAGCCAGTGTGCACACTGTCATGCCTTCAGAGTCCTGTGGTGACTAGGACACAGAACTGGAGTCTACAGTTCTACCAGCTAAGCAGACAGATAAATCTAGTTCCTGCTCTAAGCCTGATGCTGGTGGTCAGGAAACTATTGGTCCTGAAACTGTCTGGCAAGCAGGCACACAGCACCAGGATTGGAGACAGAATCTTCATGGGCTTGAGGAATCAAGTGCCTCCTACATTACCTCAGCAGAGGTGCACAAAGTACACCTACTTGGAGGATACATAATTCAGAAGAATCTATTTTCAGGCCAGAGGGATGACTGTAGGAGACTCTACTTCTTCTCAAGGACGCATAACCTACGAAAAGTGGACTGGTGCCAGAGGCTTAAAAGGGCTTCACATCCTTCCTTTATCAAAGCAAGTAGGCCCCCAAGGGCTATTCTCAGTGTTGCAGCCGTCTGCCTTGCTCTGTTGTGTTGTAGGCTCCTCCATAACTCCAGAATAGGTACTCATCCCTACTACTCCCTCATATTTGTGGGATTCCCTGAGACATCTGTTGGCCAGCGTGAGAAAAGGATGTTGCATTAGATGAGCCATTGGTCTGCAGCAGCAGGCTCTTCTTACCTTCTAATGTGCAGGGAGTTAGAGCTAGAAAGGACTTTGGATGTCATCTAATTCAACTTTCTGCTCAATGCAGTGAAACTGCAATGAAACTGCTAAAATACAAGCTCTCACCATCTCCCAAGGCAGTCTGTTCCATTCTTAGCTTCTGTAATGTGTAGCTGAAATCTGCTTCCTTGCAATTTCTAATTCCTTGATTCTAATCCTGCCCTCTGGAGCAACAGAAAACAAATCTGCTCTATTGTCTACATCACAGCCCTTCCTCCTTGGTGCTAACAACCAAAGAAAGCAGAAGAGGGTGCAAAACCCTGCAGCACTTGACAGTGTACACAGATTCAAATGTGCAAAAATCTTTCAATGCCATGTTTTATTTCCAAACTTTATCCTAACCTGATATTTAGTTATTGTTTCCCTCCCCCATCACCTCCTACAAATGAATATTTGTCTTTCTTTCTGCATTGCTCCTCAGAAAACAAACAAAACAAATGAACAAAAAAGAATAGTTACTCCACTGGTCATTTGTCATGGCCTTAATCCAGGGAAATAATTACACAAGTTCTCCTCATGCAAAATTTCCTTCTTTCTGTGGCCACCCCCACTCCAACGGATATGCCCCAGGGGGTTGTTGGAACCATCAGAGCGATTCGTGAGGGAACAGGGTGCAGGTAGGAGGAGAGGGAGGGGGAAATATTGTTGAAGTCAGACCCATAAAAACAAAGAAAATGTTCTGAGATCTTGCAGCAGCAGTGAGCTGCTGCTCCCTCCCTACTCTAAACCCAAGAGGCCATGCAGATTGCAACGTTATAAGGCAACTTAGAATCCCAGAATCAGAGAGTTTGAAAGGACCACAAGGGTCATCGAAGCCCAATCCCCTGCAATGCAGGAATCCCAATAAAGCACTCATGACAGATGGTTATCCAACCTCTGCTCAAAAACTCCCAATGAACCTCCAGAGTGAGTCCGTTACATTGTTGAACAGCTCTTACTGTCAGAAAGTTCTTCTGATGCTTAGTCAGAATCTCTTTACTCGTATCTTGAAACCATTGGTTTGAGTCCTACTCTACAGAGCAGGAGAAAAACTTCAACACCTTTGGAAAAACCCAAGCAGTATATGTTATGAAATAATAAATAACCTTCATGGATGACTAGGACATTGGTACCAGATAGCAGAAGCAGCAGAGACAGGTAATGCAGAAAGGAAAATGTGGAGCATGCATGGGGGGGCAGGGGGGCATTGCTTAATGGAGCATCATAAATCCTGATGTGGCTTCTGGGTGCCACAAAGGAACAATGTATTATGTAAGTACTCAGTACAGAAATTATGCAAAGCAAAGTGGTTATATTATTAACTATATTGATTTGTGTGGTATATCCCAGAGCTATTGATCTACTGATATTAAAATGCTTTCATTGCTGCTTTAGACATTTCTCTTTCCCGCACAACAGCTGAGCAGGAACTTATAAGATTTTCTCAAAGTTTCTTTTTTTCAAAAAAAGGAGAGGAGGGTACTAACTGTAGAGAAGGCTTTCTTCCAGAAAATATTTTGCAAATAAAGAGAAGAACAAAAGATGATCTCCAAGGCTAAGTCATACTCAGATTGGACCCATTAGCATCTCTTGACTTCCTCTCATTATTTTTGTTGCATCTACTCCAAGTATGGCTTAGTTTGATATCATGTAGAAAGTATAAGTTATATAAACATACTGAAAATTATATAACTGAAGATAATTTAAACAATAACATATAAGGTTATTAATTTTTTTTGGTATCAGTTTTGAGAGTTCAAATCAGCTAGGACCTTTTCTGGTTTTCAAGGCAGGTTGACAGAATCTCAGTAGCATCATTGTGGTGTAGGGAACCTTTGGCCCCTAGAAACAGCTGAACTATAGCTTCTATCAGCCCCAGCTGGCATGGCCAGTGGCCAGGGTTTATGGTAGTTGTAGCTCAGCAACATACGGTGGGCCAAAAGTTCACCACACTTGCATCAAAGGGACATTTGAGGAACTCAATCTTTGCAAATTCCAATCTGAATAGACCTGATCTGCACCTCTAAGAACTATGTGTAGATTTGGAACTTAGTTATCCACCAGATTTCACACTTTCACACTGTAGTTCACATTTTCGGAAAGGCATGCTTTTGGATAATGTGTGTTTTGAATTTTGTATATAAATGCATATTTTAAAATGAATTTTAATTTAATGTGCAAAGAGAGTGGAACAGGAAGCCTGGAAGCCTCAAGCAGATGGAATAAGGGCAATTACAGCAGAGGCCTGTAAATTTTGAAACTTACTCCCTGGGGAGGTATACAAATCTCCATCTTTGTAGGGATTCAGAAGATGATGCATAATGTTTCTTTTTTGGCAAGCATGTGGTTGTTTGGGCTGCTGCTCTTTATTTTAATTATGTTATGATAGTTTCTTTCTTATCAGTACTTAAATTTGGCTCCTAAGACAAATGAACAGAAGGAAGTTTGTTTAAGGAAACTCCTTATATTTCCCACTTCCTTGCCACTCCCCATCCCACCCCCAAAAATGTTTCTGGAGCATGAGGACTTTGAACAGTATGGTTTGTGGCAGAGGCACTCTGCCAAGGTATTTTGCCCCTTGGGACAGAAAACAAGATGGCATCCCTTTCTCATTCAAAAAACCAGGCATTCTGAACAATGACTGAATCTTGGTTCAGCAGTTGTAATGTGATTCTGTAACCTACTTTGCTTAAAACAGGAGGTCAGTTTACCATACCCATGTGACAACAGAGCAAAATAGCTGCGGGGCTTGAAAGGAACAGCTGGGGGGGGGGGTTCTGTTGTTGCTCCCCAGCATCTGCTACCAAAGGCAGACACCAGACTCTGTCTCATAGCAGAGCTGAACCTGGAGGCTCTGTCTGTAATATTTACAAAAGATGCTTCCACCCCATTTGTAGGAATTCCCCCTTCCACCAACACCACTCCCCATTCCACCCTGCCTTTGGGAAAATCCATAAAGGGGCACTTTTTTTGTTGGAAGAAAGGTACAGGCAGTTTCAGGGGAGTGAAGGAGACAGGGAACTTACCTTCTGTGAACTCTTTCCATTTATTTATCCAAGTCAATTCTCTCTTCACTAATTCGACACTGTTTAGAACAGGGGTAGTCAACCTTTTTATACCTACCATCCACTAATGCATCTTTCTTGATGGTAAAATTTCCTTACCGCCCACCAGTGCTCGATGGAAGGAGGATTCAGCTTGTGCCGTAGAACCCCACACTGCCCACCTAGAATCCTGAAATGCCCACTAGTGGGCAGTAGGGACCAGGTTGACAACCCCTGGTTTAGAGCCTTCAAATAACAGTTTATAAATATGTAAATTAATAAATAATCTGTAGCAGGTGGCTGAATATGCCTGCTTACCTGATCTCTCATCATTAGCATCGTTATGATCTACCAGAAAAAAGAGGAGGAAGCTAGTGGTGTTGTAGTTGATGTGGTGCAAACACAGCAGTAGGAGTGCAGGATTTATTTACTTTTTTGAAGGGAAGTGCTGAATTGGCTCCACCAGTGCATTTTCACCATGCTGACCTTGCCCCCGTCTTGCCCCTCTGCCTCTTCAGTCCCGGCTACAACAATGCTGGTTATGGGATATCAGCTAAGTGCCCTACCAACTACTACTGTAACCATCGGCCATTTCTTGGTAAGGGAATATTTCACACATCTACAGGTGTACACTTGTTTGTATTTTCCAGTTAGCCCCATATTATTAATTTACTCATTTCTCGGTTTCCTCAAGAGGCCCTCAAGAAGAACCATATCAGACCTCCTACACTGTAAGTGAAGTTAGAAGGGTTATGACAAAGCGTGTTCTCATTAAGGGAGAGCACGTGTTGCGGCTGGGGCCAGGCAAAGCACCCTTTAGTTGCCAGGCAGAATCCAAGGAAGGGGCCTGGCCAGGATTGGTGTTGGTGTTGCTGGGGCAAATTGTATGTTGCCAATTTGGGGGTGGAGATCAGAGGATATTTAAGCAAGGCCCACAGAAAGTTGCTTTCTCTTTCGCTGTGGGCATCGGATCAAGCACAGCGAAGGACTGGTTGTATAAAAACTTTAATTCTCTTCCCATTTTCTCCTTTTATTTCTTGATTTCTTTGTCTTTAGTATTCTCCATATCCCCCCTTTTATTTCTTTTCTTCGTTCTTTGTTTGTTTATTTCATTTATACCCCCTTTTATTTCATTGTTTGCTTTGTCTGTTTATTTCATTTATACCTCTGTCGCAGCTTCCCCGGGGCTTTAGGCCCTGTGGGCCGCTGGGGGTGGCCGCGGGGGGTGGGCACCGGACCCCAGGCTTACGGCCCGGTTCACGGCTGAAGCACGGCGGAGGGGTTGGTGCTTTGGGCCTGGCTACTGCCGGCTGGCACCAAATTTATTTGCGGGCCGACAGGGGCCTGGCCTCCCCCCCCCCTGTTCTCTTTCCTTACCTGTGAGCGCAGGGGCCTGTGGAGAGGGTGCCGGCGTCTGCGGTCTTTCCCTTCGCTCCCCCGGCGGCGGCCTTTTTTCGCACGCTCTGGCGCGCCCTACACGGCTGAGGCAGGCCGAGTTGGGAGGAGGCGCCGCGCAGGCGCCCCTGCGATCTGCCGATTCGCGCTTACACTCTCGACAGCCTTAGGCCTGTTAGGCCTTGTTTGGGAGAGGCCTGGTTTTTCCTCCCTCTTCCCTTGTTAGTGGCCCGGAGCGGCCGGGGAGCCGGCGGTGGGTCGCGGGGCGGCTTATTTTGGGCCGTAGGGGCCTCCGCGGCCCCCCCGCACCCGCTGGTGGCGTTTCTGGCGCGCTACTGCGTGCGCAGCGGGCCAAAGTAGGGCCATTTCAGGCCGGGGTTGCCTAGCGCGCCCAGCAGTTTGGCCATTCTAGGCCTGCATCCGGCCTAATTCAGGCCTTTGGGGGGGGGCGACTAGCTGAAGGCTGTAAGAGCCTCCATTTTGGAGTTGTGGCGGGAGCGCCATTTTCTCCTTCCTTCCTTCCTTGTGTGCTGGCCTCTAGTGGCTGTTCATAGCAAGCGCGGCCTATAATTGGCCTTGACGACTGGTGGCGCCACCTGCTGGTGAGCTTTATAATTGCACCTGCTGGGAATTAAAGTAGAATTCTTTGCTGTTTGAGATATTTTATTGTTTGAGTAGGCTACATTGATAATTTTGCTTGCATTTAATTATAAATTTGTATTCCTCTGGTAGCAGGTATGGCTCCAAAGAAGAGGGCGGCAAAGAGGCCTGGACTCGCGTCCTCAGCGAAGCGGCCCATAAAAGGCCCGTCCCAGGCTCTGCGTTCTCCTGAGCCAAGCCAATCGCTGAGACGCCTCCAATCTATGGTCACAGGTCTGGCTAGTGACCCGGTGGCATTGGCACATGTTGAGGCTGAGGTGGATGGCTTGCTTCAGCGCTGCTCGACTCCGACGACTTCTGCTGCACGCCCAGCTCCGCCTGTTGGCGCACCTCCTTCGGTGTCATCTTCTTCTGAAGATGAGGGGGAGGATTTGTCAGCCGGGGGTCTTTCGCATACTATTCAATTGTCCCAGTCTCCGGTCTTACCTGCCTCCCAGGCTGCAGTGCCAAGGGTACGGGGTGGCCCCAGGGGTGCAACCAGGCGGAGGACATCTGCCCGGATTCGGGCGGCTTGGGGTTCAGCTGTGCAGTCCTCATCAGCAGTGAGGTCTGTTCCTGGTCATTCACCTGTAGTCTCTTTTCAGTCAGTTTCAGGCGAGGTGCTGCAAGGCGATGGATCTGAGTCTTCTGTGGAGGACAGCCTTCCTCCACCTCCAAAGTCTTCTTCCGGTGGGCTTCGTCGCCGAAAGAAGAGTTCTAAGAGGCGTGCCAAGAGGAGACGGAGAGACACTTCGTCCTCTTCCGCAGGTACTTCGTCTCAAACCTCCAGTAGCGATGAGGAATCTTCGCTTAAGCTGTACTGGGGCTTTGGGGAGACCTCGGGCCTCCCAAAATGGGTTTGGGAGCGGAGGGCAAACTCTCACAGGGCAAAGTATGGGGCGGTGCAGGACTGTCTGGAAGGGGTCCTCATGCCTGACGTGAAGGTCTCTACCAATTCAGCTAGGGACATTATACCCGGTGCCCACTTGCCTACTAAACTGCGATCCAGGATCCTGGATGGCCGTTACATTGATATTTTTAGCTTGGCACCCCCTCAGGAGGGTCAGGACTCGCAGGATAGGGGTTTGGCAGCCACAAAAAGGAGGGTGGTCTTGCCAAAAGTGGAAAGGACCTTTGATAGATGGTTGGATAGTTTCCAAGTGTTCGCTGGAGTGGTGGCAGCAGCTTACCCACGGAGGTCCATGCACCTATGGGTTTATTTGTCCATAGTCCGTTCAGCATTTACGATGGCTGAAGCGTCTGCTGCGATTTCTTATGATGAGAATTTTAGACGCAGGGCTGCCAAGATCCCCACTGCCCGCTGGGATCGTAAGGATTTAGATGTCTGGACCACTTATGTGGCTCCACGTATCGATAATAAGGTCCCTGAATCGCAGAAACCTAAGAATGTGCCAGCTAAGACGGGTCGCAAGTTCTTTTGTTGGGATTTTAACAAGGGTACCTGTCAGCGCCAGTTCTGCAGATATTCTCATAGTTGTGAGAAGTGTTCAGGGAACCATCCAGCATCTGCTTGTGCAGGGGTTCGACGGCCCTTTCGGAAAGGGGGGGGCTCTCAGCAGCCCCCAAAGGCCGCTCCCCAGGCTACAGTCGCCGGAGCAGGAAAATAGTGTGCTTTCCGCTTTAGCTTATACCCCGGTTAAGCTACAGCCGTTGTTGTCATTGTTGCAGTTATACCCTCTTCAGGAGGCAGCGTCTTATTTGTGTGACGGCTTTTCTTTGGGTTTTCGAATCCCAGTGGCGTCAACTCCAGTAGCCAGGAACCCTTCAAACCAGAAGTCTGTGAGGGAAATGCCTGAGGTCACGCGTAAGAAAATTGGGAAAGAACTGGCTTTACGACGTATGGCCGGCCCTTTTGCCGTTTCCCCCTTTCCCAATCTACATATTTCACCATTAGGTATGGTTCCTAAGAAAGCTCTGGGGGAATTTCGCCTGATTCACAACCTTTCTCACCCTAGGGGCACATCAGTAAATGATGTTATTCCCCCGGAGCTTTGTTCCGTGAAGTATGCCTCGCTTGATCAAGCGATCAAAATGATAAGGAAATTTGGGCAGGGTGCCCTGCTAGCCAAATGCGACATTGAGTCGGCATTTCGGCTGCTGCCAATTCATCCCGATGACTTCTGGCTGCTGGGATTTCAGTTTGATGGGGAATTTTACTTTGACAAGGCCATGCCCATGGGCTGCTCAGTAGCCTGTGCGGCCTTTGAGTGTTTTAGTTCCTTTCTGGACTGGGCTCTGCGCAAAAGAACTGGTTTGGGCGGAGTCACTCATTATCTCGGTGATTTTTTATTGGCCTCAGCTAGCGATACGGGAAACTGCATGGTGTTGCTGCAGGCCTTCGCGGCCTTGACTGAGGAGCTGGGTGTGCCGTTAGCCGCGGAGAAGACTGAGGGTCCTTCTACGCAGCTGACTTACCTGGGTATTTTGTTGGATACGGTGGCACAAACTTCCAGTTTGCCGGCGGATAAGATTCTCACGCTAAAAGGCGTCATTTCTGACCTCATTCCCTTGAAAAAGGTTACTCTGCGACAACTGCAGTCATTGCTGGGCCACCTAAATTTTGCTTGTAGGGTGATCACTCTGGGGCGGCCTTTCTGTTCCCGTTTGGCCAGACTTATGTCTGGTCTGAGGTCCCCGAGGCATAGAGTGCGCTTGTCAGCTCAGGTGCGTGCTGATCTTCGTATTTGGTTGGAATTCCTGGAGGAATACAACGGGGTGTCACTTTGGCAGGACACCTTGAACCTTTGTAATGATTTTCAGGTGCACTCAGACGCTGCAGGGTCATTGGGTTTTGGTTTGTATTGGGATGGCAGGTGGTGTGCCGAGCGGTTGGCCTCTGGCTTGGCGTGGGGAAGCTATAACTCGGGACCTAACTTTTCTTGAGTTTTTTCCCATTGTAGTGGCTGTCCATTTGTGGGTCGAGCATTTCAGGGACCGGCGTGCATGTTTTTGGACAGATAACCTGGCGGTGGTGAACGTGCTTGCCAAGCAGTCTTCACGTTCACCTAGGGTATCAGCCCTGCTAAGGGTTTTTGTTTTACACTGCTTGCGTTTTAACATTGTATTTTCTGCTCGTTTTGTTCCTGGAGTGTCTAACGAGATTGCTGATGCTCTGTCCCGTTTTCAGATGCGGCGGTTCAGGTCCCTGGCGCCAGTGGCTCGAGACCGTCCGGAATTTTTCCCGGATCATCTCTGGAACCTTGGCAGCACTTAGTTTTACAGGGAGTAGCTGCATCTATCGCCCCCTCCACATTGCGGTCCTATAAGAAGGCTTGGATTTTTTTGCATTTTACTGGGCGGTCAGTGGTAGGGGGAATAGGCACACCTCATTCTACCGCACAGGTGCTCCAATATTTGGCACATCTGTTTCAGATGCGGCGGGCAGCCAGGACCCTGAGATTGCATTCAGCTGCAATTTCCTTCTTTAGCAAGGTTTATTTTAATAATGATCCTTGTGGGAAGTTCGTGGTGCGCAAGGCACTGGAGGGATGGGGACGTCTCTGCCCGTCCAGACCAGCTACGAGGAGGCCTATAACGTTTGGATTGCTGACCGAGATGCGAAGTAAATTGAGGGGCATCTGTAGGTCCAGGTTTGAGGCTCGGCTATTTTCCACAGCCTATTTGTTAGCCTTTTTTGGGGCCCTGAGAGTTGGGGAGGTGGTGTTTGAACCTAAGCAGGATGGAGGTTCTAGAGGTTTGTTGCTGCAGGACGTGAGCCTGTCTCAGTCGGAACTGCAGGTCCATGTCAGGAGTTCCAAAACTGATCAGCTGGGTAGGGGAGCAGTTATTCGGCTCCCAGCAACTGGGCTAGGGGGCCCTTGCCCAGTTAAGGATCTCCAAAAATATATGGCTTTGCGGCCTACTGGAGAGGGGCCCCTGTTCATTTATGAAGATGGGCGTCCATTGGCGCGTCATCAGTTCACCGGTGTCTTGCGCAAAGTTGTTGCTGCTTGTGGTCATGCAGCCTCTGAATTTGCTCCGCATTCCTTCAGGATTGGGGCTGCAACGACAGCTGCCCATTGGGGCTTGTCGGTTAAGAGGATTAAAGACCTGGGCCGTTGGAAGTCGGGCGCATACAGGGGTTATGTGCGGAAATGATGTTGATTTCATGTACTCACATCTGTTGTTTTACCCTAGGTCTACCCACTATCCGGGTCTGGATAGTGGGGCACAGTATTGTGCATTGGGCTGCTTGCAGAGCTCGGCAATCCGAATTGGGAGCTGGCCTTGGCTTTCCTCAGCACGTGCAGGTGTCCTGGATCTCCAGAAGGGGGATGCTGCGGAAGGAATTCTTACTGCTCATGCAGAGGCGTGTTCTGCTGGAGGGCCCCCCTACGGCGATTGTGGTGCAGCTCGGGGAAAACGATATGGTTTCCTCCTCTTGTTATGTTTTACGTGCTATTATTT